AATATATATATATATATATTTTTTTCTTTCGAAATTCGTGTTCAGAGGTGTATTTGACAATAGTTGGTGTGATTGTGCTGAATATAAAATATAAAGGGATCAAGTATTAGTATATATTAGTAACGTGCTAAATAATTATCTATGTGTATATATGCAATATACACACATAATCATGCAAGTATCTCTATGCACACGTACACTAAAGTATAATGATAAATAATAATAATAATGTACCTAATATATCGACTAAGATATGATATATATAAAAACGTCTCTTACTACTATAATATAACATAGGAGCATATCGTATCGTCAGTGCATTACCGCATAACAACTATATGAACATAAAGAAATTATATGTAGATCACACTAGATACCTTTTGACCTTTAATTGCTCACATGGTACCTCCGAGGCACCAAGAGAAGAGAAACCGAAACTTAACCTGAAAAATCATTATTCTATTCTAATTGTCTTGTTTAATAATATCAATTTCTGCATCATTGTTGTATTGTTATTGTTATTTTGATTTTTTTTTTTTTTTTCGTGTTAATTTTCAATCAACATTTCGTGCAGTTTAACGTTTATTTGTTCTATTTGTTTTTTACAAACAAATAAATGGATAAAATAAATAAACAAATAAAATGATACAAACTGATAAAACGTTTCCTACGTATACAAGAGAAGAACATTCAGCTGGATGTTATGAGTGTTATCAATTAAGTAAAGTTGTCACGCAGCCATATTAATAAATATTGGTAAAAGCTAACACCATAAAAAACGGCTCAGGGTAAAAAAAAAAAAAAAAAAAAAAAAAAAAAAAAAAAAAAAGAAAAGTTGGAAAACATAGGAAAACAAAAAAAGAGGGGCAGGGTAAAAAAAAAAAAAAAAAAAAAAAAAAAGAAAAGTTGGAAAACATAGGAAAACAGGTAAGATATAACCCGCTCGACTATAAATCAAGTGCATGTACATGCGAACGAGGGAGTAGAATACTTACACCGATGGCCTCCGGCTTCGTGGCGATCGAGGCTGCGGCAGTAGCAGCAGCAGCAGCGTCAGGTACGCCACTACCGTTCTGGGCTTCCGGGGCCTGATTCTGCATGGCTTCGGTCTCACCACTGTCGGCCACCTGTGTCGCGTCACTCGACTCCAACTTATCCAAGCCAAAGGTCTGCGACACGTCCTGCGGTTAAACATCATTTTTGAGTAATTTTCGGCCATCGATACACCACGACGTATCATCACTGTTTTTTTTTTTTTTTTTTTTTTTTTTTTTTTTTTTTTTTTTTTTTTTTTTTTTTTTT